GGGGTGGGGGGGGTGTGGTTGTGGGATGCTCACAGTGTTCATAAGCCATGCTTTTCCACTTTTGCAGCCCCTGAAGAGCCTCCTGGGCCTGCTGCAAATCTGAATCATCTGGGCTACACACATACACACACCACATGCCTCACGCACGAGCACACGGCTTACTTACTGCCTGTCCTGCAGCGTCGCCAGTTTCGCCTTGATGCCGCGTTCTTTCTCGTCTATCTGGTCGAGTTGCTTCTCGAGCTCATCAATCAAGAACTGGATTAGAAAGGCGCCTGTATGGGCGGGGCTCCAGTGCAGTGGAACAGACACCTGCAAAAGAATGAACGAATCAAGACACTGCACACACATACGGTACACGCCTCCTCACCTGCGCACTCGGCCGACCAACGGTAACCGCATCATCAGACTTGACTCTCACCTGCCCAACCTCAACCGAAGTCTTGTTGCCATCCACACACAGAGATAATTGTATGTCGACCGACAAGACGACGGGAGAGCCAGAAGCCGCTCCATTGCCTTTCAAAGGCTCAGTCGTGCCCGTGTCGACCTGCATGCACTCAGGTGTGACCGCAGCTCTTGAAGGTGCTGTAGGCATGATGTGTCTGTGCTTACGGCTGCATGGACGGCGCCTCCACCCTTCTGCCCGCGGAGTTATGGCCTCCTGGTCAAGCGATGCACGTGCTGGTGTGGACGGGCGGTTGGCCACGGTGACAACGCGAGGAAAGAGGTGCTTGTGGCTGTGGGTGTGGCTGCAGACAGTGCTGGTGTTTGCAGTAGATGCGCAAGCAGGTGAACGGTGGCAATGGCCATGACGCACATCAACTGCAGTGCAGGCAGACAGACAGACGGGCAATCACAGAAACAAGCGCGACACAAACACGATGATGTACAGTATGTCCTTCCTTCTTGGATGCCGTTGGTGTGTCATAGTGCTTTTGTTTTGTGTGTCCATACCCTCTGAAAGCCCAGCCGGCATGCAATTAAGTCCGCAGACAGACGTCTCACTCAGCCACTGCCACCGGGCACAGGACTCATAGATCTCCTCTGAAAGCAAAGCGTTCGGTCCTTCTCGCCATCAGCACACGACAGAGCCCGACAGGTGAGAGGCGTGTGCTTTCTGGTGCTTGGAAGCTAAGCTCGCACCTGAGACCTCTTTGGCGAGAAGGAGCTCATCGACGTATCAGCGCGTTCGTCCCTGCTCCTTCGTCGATCCCCATCGCTCTCCCGTCCACTCCCGGCCGCGCATCTGTCCCTCTCGCCTGCCGCCATGCCTGTGCTGCTGACGGCGTTCGCTGTCAGTGTGGGAGGGAAGCTCATAGCCCTCGCCACGAGCAAGGCCGCCATCGGCTTCGCGGCCTTCTATTTGGGCTGGCAGGGGAGCGGCATCGCCGACAAGGCCGTCGAGAAGGCGCTGGACACCTGGAAGCACCTCAATGGCGAGAGATCCGCCTCCCCCCCGGCCGACTCTCCCGCTCCCTCACCGCCTGGCCCACCACCTTCACCATCGGCCGCCGCCCCACCGACCCGGGACCCCCTCAGACGGCCGCCCAAGACGTTTGCCTCCGCGGAATGCCTCATTCCCCTTGACGGCAAAGATGGCGGCACTGAGGACGCCGCGTGCCACCACAACGAGGCCGGCGTCATCGCCATCGCTGACGGAGTGTCGGACATCAAGCCGTGTTACGGCTTCTCGGCCCGTCTGCTCTCCAGATGGCTGATGAGCCGCATTCGGGAGGTCGCCCCGCTGTACGCCATCAGTCGCTGGACTGAGAACCGCGCCGTCGACATCCTGCTGCATGTGTGGGGCGAGAGGGCCCTGGGGGAGGGCCAGCGAGGCGCCTGCACCGTGGTTGTGGTGGCCATGGTGCGGGATTCGTGGATCGACATCGACAACCTCCACGTGGCGGCCTGGGGCGACTCGGTGGCGCTGCTGCTGCGTCGGGACCGGTTCGGCAAGCTCTTCATCCTCTACAGGAGCGGGATCATGGTGGAGCCGAGCCTCCCGGACGTGCCGGTGCAGCTCAGCGCCCTCCCCCGGACAGTCGGCTGGACAACCACGACGAGAGTGAACCCCTCGCCGGCCGTTCTCCGCCGCAGCCTGCAGCAGCTCAAGTGGAGCGTCCAGGAGGGCGACCTGCTCCTGGCGATGACGGACGGCGTGAACGACAACCTGTTCCACGAGCAGATCGAGAGCGTTGCCAACCAGTACGAGCCGTACGCCGAGCCAGCCGTCATCGCACAGGCCATCTGCGAGGCCGCCCACAGCCACAGCGTCACACCCACCAGCGTCACCCCCTTTGGCACGCTCCGACATCGACATGGGGGGAAACCTGACGACATTTCAGTGGGGGCGGCCTGGGTGCGGCGAGCGGCAGGTGGCGATGACGCAGCATATGCGGCAGCACAACAAGAGTTGGTGCCCCGATGGCTGTGGCCCCAGCCGCCGAGGGACAGAAGGAGGGAGAGGGGGGAGCGGGCGAGGGATAGATAGGCAGGCCACTGAGTGAGGCCGGCGATTTCTCAGGCATTCGTTTTGTCGGTCAATCAAGAGGGAGGAGGGTCGGGGGGAGGGTGCGATGGGGTCGGTTGGTTGGTGCGCATGAGAAGAGGCCGGGAATGTGGCAGATAGAAACAGCCAGGCCGGAGGTCACGTGCGGGGAGCTCGCGGTGAGGGAACGAGTTGCGCGAGTGTGCGGCCAGTCAGAGGGTAAGTGCCTGTGCTGTGGGATTAAGTCTGTCGGTCTGTTTGTCTGTCCTTGTCTGTGTTAGCATTCATTCGGCATTTTGTCGGTCTGTTTCCTCTTTCGGTCGCCGTTTTGCTTTCGATTCGTTTTGCTTTCGATTCGTCAATCAAGTGGAAGTGAATGGGGCAGGGGTAGGGCAGTTTGTTCGTCGGACAGATGCGGGTGTGCATCGTTTGTGTGGACTCAATCGCTGGGGCTGCGGGTCAATGGATTATGTAATGACATCAATTCAGTGTCAGCCAGTGTTCATCGGGCATCTCCGCCATCCATGTAGGATTGGGAATGCATGAGTCAGACCTCGTCCAATCAGATCATTCATTGTCAACTCCGTGTCTCTTGTCAAGTCGGTGTGTGTCCCACCCACCCACCCACGCACGGGCCCACCACATGACACAACCATCACATGACACAACCACGACGACTCTCTCCCCGTGTGCCCGTGTGTGTGTGACCTGCCTTGCCGCTTCGAGCAGGCAGCAACACGAAAGGCACCACGCACACGAATAGGTGCTCTCTCTGCACCACCCAAACCCAATGGTGTGTGTGATGTGACACTACCAGTCTTCTTGGCCCCGCCGATGGATATGGTCTTCTTGCCTTACTGATTCGAGCAGGCAGGAAGGCCATACCCAAGGTCAAGCTGAAGACCAGGCAGGCGTCACCCACATACGCTTTTACACGTCAGATCATGATGCCTGTTCTTGGCTTCTCGCTCCCTGATCCCTTATCACCCACATGTATCTGTCTCTCTCTCAGTATCATACAACACATTTGTGCGAGAACCCACCCCCTCCGTCCCTACGTGTGTGTGCGATCGGCTCTCTCGCTTACTTCGTTCCCTCGCTCCACTGGTCGCTCGCTCGCTCGGCACGACTCACTTCACCTCACAAGCACATTGACGCGATGAAAAACGTTGTGTCTGTCTGTCTGTCTGGGCACTGAAACACATTGATTGATTGCATCTTGATGCAAAGACCGGCCACTAATCAAGCATCACTTATCCACTGAGCACCCACCCGCAGGCACATGGATAGAAATCACTGCCCCGGCCTCTCTCTCTCTCTCCCTTCTCCTTCCTGCATTGTGTGTGTGTGGTGTGGCGTCTGTGGTGCAGTGCATGGCACAGACATCCCACCCATTCGCCAGTGACGAGAAAAAAGACGCATTAGGCACATGACAATACATACAACACAGCCGGCTGATGAGAGAGTTCGCCCGCAGTGGTAAGCGGGCTCTTCTCTCTCCCACACACACACGCACTGCATCGCACTGACATTACACAACGCATCCATCCATCCATCCAACCATCCACTCATGCACTCGTGTATCCTACATGCCCCTCCCCCGGTGAGTGTGGTGTGTGGTGTGTGGTGTGTGTCTACTGCGTGAGCTCGGTGAGGGCCACGACGGCCTGGCGGATGTCCCCGCCCTTCATCTACACACACTCGACACACACCAGACATAAAGAAGAGAATGGGCGCTCGCTTCACGCTCGTGTAAGTCGTGTAGGTGGTGTGGTGCATACCTTGAGTATCTCGCGGTTGAGGTCCTGGTTCTCGAAACCCATCTCGCTCAACAACTGAAACATACACAACACATCCAGCCTCTCTCTCCCCTCCCTCCCTCCCTCCCTGCCAACCCACCGACGCACCTGCAGCTTCCTGTCCATGTCCTGCTGGTCGGCGTCGCCCTCACCCTCGCCCTGCCCCTGTGTCTGGGCACCCGAACGCTCCTCGTTGTTGCCCGGCCCCTCGTTCCACATCTCCAACTCGACATCCCAGCCGGGCTGAGCCGAAGGGCCGGGGGGAGGAGGCGGGGGCATCATGCCGCCGCCCATGCCGCCATACCCCCATGCCTGGCCGCAGAAGGGCGGCATCGGCATGCCACCCCATGGCTGGCCGCCACGGTGGCCGAAGCCGCGAGGGCCCCAGCCGTGGTGGTGGTGGCGACCGCCGAAATGGAAGTTCTGCAACGTCATGGATACAATGATAAGCATGGTGTGTTGGTGGCCGTGGTCGGTGTGTTGGTTTGTGTGTGGTGTGCGTGCTGTACCTTGTGGTGTGCCTTCCACTTGCCGCCCTTCTTGCCGCCACACGGGCCGCCCCTGCCGCCACACGGCCCGGGGCGGCCCTGGTTGGGCGCGCCGCAGCTGAAGTCGACCGATCCGGCGAATCGGGGCATCACCACGGGCACCAGCGACGCAAACTCACTCATAATCACCTGGATGGACAACACACACACGCCCTCGAGTGCATCCTCCCTCTCTCTCTCCCTCCCTCCCTCCCTCCCCTGTTGCTTACCTGCAGCAGCTCCAGGGCATACTGCAGAGCAGCGGTGGCGATGCCGTCCACGGCCTTGACCAGGGCCTTGAGCACGTCAGCCACAGCCACACTGGTGCCGTCCACCAGCGAGCGCACGCCGGCCGTGAATGCCTCCAGGTTGTGGGTGAGTGCCTCGCGGTCGATGGCGGCCTCCGACATGCCGTGGACGGTGGCGGTGGTCTGCTCGAGCTGCGTGCCGATGCGCTGCAGGCGCTCGGTGATCTGGGGGAGGTAGTCGACGGCGGCCTCGTTGATGCGCTCGGCGTGGCTGTCGATGCTCTCACTAACGTTCTGCAGAAACCCGCGGGCCATCGAGGCCGCCTGACAGACAGAGACACAAACAAACAAACAGACATGTGAGCCGGACAAAGTGTGTTGATGGATGGGATTGTGTGTCAGTGTGTACCGTGTTGGGGTCGTTGAGGAGGCTCATCATCATCGCCATGAAGCCCATCGGGCCGCAGGGCGGGGGACCCTCTCGCTCCTGCTGCTGCTGCTGCTGCTCCTGCTCCCCCTCTCCCTCTGTCTCCTGGCTGGCAGCTGCCTTCTTGGCGTCCCTCTTGGCCTCCTTGACGGCGCGCTTGCGCTCCCGGTCGATGTCCTTGGTGTTGATGACCTTGAGCTTGAGGATGGCCTTGCTGCTGTCGCCCGCCTCATGGGCCACCTGGATGGCGTCGAGCGTCGTGCTGGGCGTCAACGTGCAGTACTCACCTGCAGCAGAGCAGCAACACATGGAAACGCATCGACGATGGTGTGATGGTGTGATGCTGTGAGGCGCGACATACCCTCTTCGTCGAGATACTTGAGGACATAGCCGTCCGCGAGGTGGGGCGCCTTGCCGGGCTCGACATCGGCCTTGTTGAGGCCCTCGTAGCTGTCCGTCAACGTGTCGATGATCTGGGAAAGAAAATCACACAAGAGATCCAGCATTGAGCATTGAGCATGACGTCTCAGACGGCCTTCTCTGGCAGTCTCGTCTCTCCTTACCAACTCATAGTACTTGGCAGGCGAAGCACTGCTGGCAATGTCGAAACCCGGCAGACGGAACCGACGAATGTCGCCCTGACGCACAGAACACACAGACAAGCGGGCAGTCGTTGGGAATTGTGTGCCGGTGCAGGGCGCCGGTCGTGCGCACCTGGAAGTCGACTTTGAGCAGCATGGTGCCGTTGGTTGGGGTGACGAGGACATACTGGGATGCGGTGGATGCCGTGGGACCCTCTGCAGCAGCCGCGGCGGCAGCAGCGGACGATGACGGCGAACTCGTGGGCACCATCAGAAGAACGACAGATCAACAACAACTATCACTATCTCAGACAGCAACAACACTACTGTCACAAGACTCTCAGAATGGGCAGAATGGCCGTGTGCCAGCCTGTCCGTTGAGTCCTTCGCGTGTTTCGTCTCTTCAGCCCTGCCACAGGAGAAGAATTTCACGATCACCCTACCCTCTTTCAAGCTCGCAATTCCAAGTGACTCAAAGGCAGAGCGTCAAGCGGCTAGGCGCCACATCCATCGCATCGTATCGTCCACATTCATTGGGTTTCAAACGATCCCGCCATCTCTGACAGTCACTGACTGAGAAGGAACATGATGGAGGCGTCGCAGCCTCCACGACCCCCTCCCCCTCCCCCTATACCCCCCGCTGCTCCACCAGTACCCCCGGGTGGACACTTTCTCGGCAGTGTGGTTCCGCAGCAGCCACCGCCAACGATGATCGCCTTCTCGTCGCCGCCGGGAGGCGTCGCCTCCCCAATGTTCAGACCTTTCTCGCCGGTGTGTGTGCGCATCAACACACACACGCACACGTGTTGATCGATAGGCATGCCATGCGTGTGTATCTCTGTCTGTCTGTCTGTGCTGCAGGGTGGTGTCGGCAGTGATGGGAGCGAGATGTATGTGACGGAGAACGAGGCGAGCAGCAGCCGTGTGAGTGGCAAGGATCCCATGGCGCTGCAGCAGGAGCTCAGGGACCTCGGTAGGCACACACTGGCGCACAGACAGACATGCACAGACACTCACATCCACTTGGACACACAGATGGATGGATGTGTGTGTGTGTGTGTGTGCAGAGAGGTACCCGAAGGACGCCATCCCGCCGCGGACTCTTGTTCTAGCAAGGTTCCTCAGGTGCGTAGCTGCACACTATGGGCGCCGTCAGATTCGATTCATTCAAACCGTTCACGCGTGTGTGTGTGTGTATGTGTGCAGTGATGAGAATTATCGCAAGGCCAAGATAAAGGAGGTGCGGTACAAGGCGGGCTATGGCGCAAACAGGTGCGTCTGTGTGTGTGAGTGTGCTGCACAAAGAGCAAGCACCAGGCGGACAGACAGACTGTCTGAGAGTGTGTGTATTCCTCCCTGTGTGTGTGATGTTTAGTGTTAATGGTCCGCAGTGCTACCAGTACTATGTCGAGTACATCGGCGAGGAGCAGCGGATGGACACCTGGCTCACAGGTACTCTCTCTCTCTCACACACACACACACATCCACCCGACACACGCAATGTGACCTTCACGTGTTTTGTGTGTTCGCCAGCCGAGCAGATCTTGCCCTTTGCCCACATGACGGACAGCATCCACATCGACCAGGAGGAGATCCACGAGGACGACGCCCACCACCACAAACACAAGTACTGTATACACGCAAAGAACAGAACAGACACACCTACAATGGGGAAATCCTCTCTCTCTCTCTCTGCGTGTGTGTGTGTGTGTGTGTGCGCAGACGGCGGCATCACCACCGGCACAAAAGAAAGCACCACTTGTAAGCAGACGGGGGAATGAAGCTCACACACATGCCGAGCATCCATCCATCCATCCATCCATTCATCAGGCACCATCGGCGCAAGTCGGCGCCGGGTGCGAGCCCCTCTGCGCGGACACAGTCGTTTGTCGCCAGCAGGGAGCCCTCCATGCAGGTAGGTGCAGACACGCAAAATGAGATCTGGCCGTTGACGTGTGTGATGGTAATGGTGATTGTGATTGTGTGTGTATGTGTGTGCGTGCAGATCGGCGGTCTGCCCACCGATAAGGAGCCGACTGTCAAGACGGTCAGCCGGATACAGTTCGGCAAGTACCTCGTGGACGCTTGGTACAATTCCATCAAGAAGGAGATCCGTGCGATGTCTGTGTGTGTGGGTCATGTGTGTGTGTGGGTGTGTGCGTGTGTGCAGGTACCCCTCCCCGTTCCCCCCCGAGTACACCAACCCAGACCCCGTGCCGCGCAAATACTCCCACCGGAACAGCGCAAACACATCGCAGCAGAGAGACCACACCAACACCAGCAGACACGTACGCCCCGCGCCCCCCCCACACATACGTGGACATATCCACATGGAGTGTGTGTGTGTGTGTGTCGGCGTGACACTGATTGCCTTCAGGACCGTGTGCACTCTCCGTGTGCCTACAGCGACGCGTCGGCCGAGGTGGACGACGCCCACCCCGGCACCGCCATATACTTTTGTAAGGCAGCGTGCGCGTGGCGTGCACCACCGCGTTCGTGTGATGATTAAAGTGTGGCTGGATCGGTGGTCGGTTGCAGGTGAGTTTTGCCTGAACTTTTATCGCTTTCCTTCTGAGCTCGACTGGCACCTGCGGTAGGCAAACAGACCAGACGCACAGACACGCGGAGCCCACATGGGAGGGAGTGCATTGCTTGCATCATTGGATGGGATGGATTGCAGGCACACCTGCAGGCTGCGGCACCCGCCAGGCGACGAAGTCTACAGACACGAAGAGTGAGTGAGCAGACACACAGACGCACGAAGGACGAAGAGTGTGCGCACCTTCATCACATCACACACACGCGTGTGCCTATCTATGTCAGTTTGTCTATGTTTGAGGTGGACGGCTCTCTGGCGCCCGTCTACTGCCAAAACCTCTGCTACCTGGCGAAGCTCTTCATCAAATCAAAGAGACAAGACACGTACACACACACACACACACCGAGAGAGAGAGAGGGAGAGGGAGAGGGAGAGAGAGAAAGAGGGAGGGATAGTACTTTGTTGTGTGTGTGTGTGTGTGTGTGGATGTGTTCAGTGTGCATGAGGTGGAGCAGTTTCTGTTCTTCGTACTATGCGAGTATGAGGAGGGCGCGGGGTACCACTTCGTCGGCTACTTCTCCAGACAAAAGGCACGCACACACACACACACATCCATCCATCCACACACACAGGCGAACGTCCATCTCTCTGTCTCTCTCTGTGTGTGTGCCCACCCCACCAGGAGTCGCCGCACGACTACAATGTGGCGTGCATCCTGACGTTGCCGCAGCACCAGCGTAAGGGGTACGGCAAGTTCCTCATCCAGTTCTCGTACGAGCTCTCGCTCATCGAGAAGAAAACGGGCGGACCCGAGCGGCCCCTCAGCGACCTCGGAGCCGCCAGCTACCACGCCTACTGGAAACAGGTGCGTGGTTTGGTTTTGTCTGTCTTTGTGGTTGATTGATTTGTGTGTATGTGTGTTCAGACGCTGTTGGGTGTGTTGGCCAAGTGGGAGAAGAAGACGGTGTCTATCCAGGAGCTGATGGACGCCACGGCCATACAGTCGAGGGACATCCAGGACATGCTCTCCATGACTGGCCTGCTCGTGTACGGCAACACACACACACACACCCCCCACACACACACCACACAGACAGACAGACAGACAGACAATGTGTGTGTGTGTGTGTGTTGTGTGGTCTGGGTGCGTGTGTGCAGTGAGGGTCAGCCCGGCGAGCACTGGCTGTCAGTTCACATCAGCCAGGACAAACTCGAACGCATCAACAAGTCAGCCAACAACAGACCACAACACACCACTCCGACATGTCCACATCACTTGTGTCCATTGCGCGCCCGATTATACTGGCTGGTTGCAGAGAGTGCGGCCGTCCGGGTGTGCCCGTGGTGCGCGAGAAGGTAGAGTGGACGCCATACAACAAGGAGCCCTACGGTGCGGTGCGCACACACATACTCACCACACACAATGCATCGACACACTGTGTGTGTGCAGGTCCGCGTAGCGAGCGTCTGTTTGTCAACGGTCCCACCATCGAGCGGGCCACCGTGATGGGCCTCAAGAGGAGCCTCACGGCGCCAGCCCGGCCGGACGCCATCTCGCAAAGCGCTCCTGTCGCTGAGGTGGGTGAAAAGTTGGTCTTTAAACTTCCTTGAGTGCACTGCACTAATGCGATGCGCCTCGTGTGTGTGTGTATGTGTGTGTGCGTGCAGATCATCAACCGTGCTGCTGACGACTCGGAAGTGCAGGTGGGTGAGGGCATGCCATCCATCCGTCCATCCATCCACCATAGGGTGATGTGTGTCATTTTGTGTGGGTGCAGCCTGCGCAGAACTGGGTTGAGCACGTCAACGCAGCCGAGGACGACGAAGAGCACGAACGAGGGCACGGGCACGGGCAAGGGCAAGGGCAGGGTCAGGAGCATGGTGGGGGAAACATGCCGATGCCGCCGCCGGTGGAGCAGGATCTGGATCAGCAGATGGGCCAGACGGGAGGAGGAGAACAAGAAGGAGACGAGGAGGATGACGACATGCAAGTCGAGGAGGAGGAAGAAGGTACACACACATCCATCCATCCGTCCATCCACACACCACACCACACATACTCTGTGTGTGTGTGTACTGCAGAGATGGAGGAGCGAGAAGAAGAGCACGAGATGGAGGAGGAGGAGGAGGAGGGTGAAGATGTGGAGGAGGACGACTACGACGAGGGAGATGACGAGGAGCAGCAGGACGACGACTGACCACATACACACACACCTGCCTGCAGTCAGTGTGCCTTCACACTGTGTGCTGTGCTGGACCGTCCGTCCACACCGCACGAACAAGAACCGTTCTCATCTCATAAAGGTTGCAGGCAGAGAGAGGCAGAGAGAGGCTGGCTAACTGATTGGTGTGTGTACACTATGCATGACGAGCGAGCATGACTGTGGCTGTCTGTATAGTCAGTGTGCAGCGTTCGATGGAGGCTTGGTTGGATGGATTGGCTGCATGAGGTGCTGGTTGGTTGGTTGATGCGTTGTTGTGTGTTGGTGAGAGGGAGCGAGCGACGGACGGACACAGCGAACCAATTTAACTTAACCACACACACACACGTGTGTGCGAGTCGATAGCTATGTACATCGGAAGGGGCCAAATGTATAACGACGTGCCCTCACATCTCACATCACATCAACTGCATCCATCCATCCCACCGGCACACACCAAAAAGGCCGCGGTATCACAGCACTCAAACAAACGCCTCCTTCACTCACCCACACAGACACACCGATTAAGCACTCCAGTCGGTGGGTCACGCCAAATCGTCATGACTCCCTGACGTCCGCATAAGCCCGAAAGATGTGGAAGAACAGCCCATCTGCACCCTGATGCCGCTGCTGACCCTCCTGCTGCTGCTGCTGCTGCTGCTGATCACGCCCCGCCTCCACATCATCCACCAGTGACGATGACGCCGTGGCTCCGCCGGCTGGCTCACCCTCCAGCAGGCCTTTCCCTCTCCTCCGTCTGTGGCGCTTCCCCGTGTGCCTCCTCCAACACAGGCTGCTGGACACGAGAGCCGTCCCGACCACCAGTATCACCACACACAACGATAAGAACGCCGCAGCTCGGAGGGAGAGAGCCATTTACGGCAGACAGATGAAAGGCCGTGACCGCGCTGATCAGGATATCCTCTTTTCCCTCAGTCAGTGTGTAAGCCGTGCAGACCCTTCCACACTGCATGCCACATTGGTTGGGAATGAAAGGCCTTCCATTCCCTGCGCCAAGAGCTCTCGGCGAATTCGATCCTGGGTCGATCCCGCGAAAAAAGGCTCTTTTGCAGTCCGCTTTCAGCCCTCCTGCTGTCTTTTGGGCTTACAGGTGCATGGCGCTCAGATTCGCGCCCGGGGGG